AGAAAACAGTAAACAATTAGAAAAACTCATAAAACTATGCAAAACAATGTCATTTCAAGTAAAGTTGTCCACATCAGATCGCCAGCCATGATACGTGGGACGGGTGGCAATGAATGGATTGCCATGTTGCCTATATCGGGCGAGTATTCACTGGGAGGACTAGATTGGAAGTTTACTAAAAATTAAAGACTACATTGAGACAAGTAAAAGTTTAGCACCAAATTGGAATGCATACAATAGATTTAAGACTTTTTTTTTGGTCGAAACAATAGATTTAAGATTGAAATCGCAATATTTTTAATGAATTTAGAATGAAATTATTGGCTCTATAATGTCTTATGAAGTAGAGAAAGAAAATGAAGCCCATAGGAAAAAGAAAAAGGCAATCGCCTTAGACAGTGGTGATAGCAACGAGGAAGAGTTTCGATCACGGATGAGGATGACAAAGATGAAGGGGAAAAGTGTCAAAAAAGTCCTAAACCTTTTGCATTTATGCCAATTTAGTCCTAAACCTTTTTTTGGTGCCAATTCAATCCTAAACCTTTTGCATTGGTGCCAATTCAGTCCTAAACCTTTTTTTGATGCCAATTCAGTCTTAAACCTTTTGGTATTGGTGCCAATTCAGTTCTAAACCTTTTGTATTGGTGTCAATTGAGTCATAAATCTTTTTTTTGTGCCAATTCAGTCCTAAACCTTTTGTATTTGTGCCAATTCAGTCCTTTCGGTTAATTTAGCTAAAAAAGGTTTAGGATTGAATTGCCACAAATGTAAAAGGTTTAGGACTGAATTGGCATCAATACAAAAGGTTTGGAACTAAATTAGCACAAAAAAAAGGTTTAGGACTGAATTGGCACCAATACAAAAGGTTTAGGACTGAATTGGCATCAATACCAAAAGGTTTAGGACTGCATTGGCACCAAAAAAAGGTTTATGACTGAATTGGCACCAAAAAAAGATTTAGGACTAAATTGGTATCAATGCAAAAGGTTTAGGACTTTTTTGACACTTTTGCCTACATGCTTCCATGTAAATTCAAAAAGTTCCTTCGGAAGAGAAGTTTCAAAGGAAGATGGAATTACAAAAGGCAGACAAAGAAAGCTTTAAGTAAACATGGAGTGACGCTAAAAGTGAATCAAGTGAGGATGAAGCAGAAGCTGCAAATCTATGTTTGATGGCCAACGTTGTAGAAGCTGAGGTAAAAGCACTAACGTCGATTCTACACCAAATGAGAAGTCCCATGACGCATTTAAAAATTATTTTTTAGCATTGTACATGTACAGTTTCTACAAGAATACCTTCGAAGAGAAACTTGATGGAAAACTTCACAAGAATGCGTACATCATTTCCTCGGAGCATTTTGATCCTTCCAAAGGATATTGTTTTTTTTTATGTTGCGATGGAAAATTGTAGGCATAAAAAATTAGGCCATGCAAGTTTAAACGAATCTCCATTCTTTGGCAAAGGATTTAGTTCATGGCCTACCGAAGATCAAATTCGAGAAAAAGAATTTTGGTGATGCATGTTCTTTGGAGGGCAATATAAGTCAAGATACGCATGAGAGCGTGCCCGGACATCCAGAGAAATGAATCTGGTCCAAAGAAGCTTGGCTGGGCAACAAAATCAGAAACTGCTAATCCAGTCTCCTAAACCAACACCTCCCTTTGAATCTACAATGCGAGTTTCATGAAAAGAAAGGCCTAATATCATAAACAATCTTGAACATTGTCAAATCACAACCAAACCAATAAACTATTAGAACATTATCGGCATAATTCCAAAAAACAACACAAGCTTTACATTAAGTGATAATTCTGGTCCAAACTTTTTTTTATCTTATAAAAAATCACCAACTTTCACTTAAATCCCAACTCTGACCCCGTTGACTTGGAATCGTTAATTGTCCCAAGTGACTTTTCCACCTCAGGAATAAATCCATGTCGCTTGCTAGCTGGATTTAAAGCGTTATTCATTGTCTTCTTTTCTAAGCCACAGCCTGAAGAAATGTGAATTGTTCATGGTCTCCTTTACTTCACCAGGAAGTCAAAAAGATCTCCAGATTGAGTCTTTCCAGCCAGCCTCCACCGTCTCGTCGTAATTTGAAGGTTTGAATCACCACCCGTCGAGAGACACCATCAACGAGATCCGCCAAGCTCACGACCATAACCTTTTTTTCTTAAATAAGCCCAAGCCCTCCCATTGAAACTTCGAAGTCTACGTCGAATGGACATTAATCAATTGATCTCATTTAATATATCAAGCTCTAGTGATAAACATTAATAAATTGATTTTGTTGGGAAGTATAGTGAAGGAGATTCTAAAGCTATGCCCTACCAAAGTGCCTTTAACAATCTACAAGATCTCAAGCTTTGGTTAACGGTGGCCAGATTTGGAACTCGAGTAAAAGTTGGTGATTTTTATTGAGACGAAAAAAAAAGTTCAGGCCAAAATTGTCATTCAAGATAAAGTTAGCGCTTTTCTTTTGGAATTAACCCGAACATTATCTTAACTTAAAATGAAAAAGCTAGGGGAGTTATCATCTAAATTAATAAGCCATCACCACTAATCAACTCAATGCCAGAGTTAGTGGATTCTATAATTCCTTGGCCCTAATCAATGCTGAAAAAGTAGGACGCATCGTCCATTAAAATGTTGGTAAATAGTAATACTATATCATTTCAAAGACCATGAAATTATGATCAGATATTATATGCAATCTGTGCTTCACGGATTGCTACACGGATCTATAATGAAGAAATGATATACAAAGATTCGTGTATAAAGTAACCTTCATGTTATCGTATTTGCAATAAGAATGTAGTGTTAGCATAACATCAATAATTTTTTAGCAACTTATTAATGGAATAGCTAACCTGATTTTTTTATCTCTTTCTTTACTATGATTCAAGTAAACATAATTTATAAATTATGTGTAATATGTTACTAAATTAAAGATATATAAATTATGTGTATTTTTTCCAAAAAAAAAAGTACACATATTTTTATATATCTTTAATTTAGTAACATATTTGTATACTAATGTAAATTATAATGTTATTATTAAGGTGAGAAATTTCTTTAATAGAAAGGAGTACAATTAGATTGAATATAGAGAGAGGGGAGGAAGAGGGACAAAAAAGTAATAAGCAGGTAGCATAATGAGTGCATAGGAAAGGATCGAATCCCTTTTAAATTGGACACTAACTCTTAGAGAAGACATTGTTATTATCTATTTAGCATTTATATGGATAAATAATACTACTTAAGCACACATTTTCTACTTTCGAGTTCATTTTTTCCCCTTTCAAGTTGCAAAAGCAATCGAAAGTAATCTATTCATATAAGAGGTTTAAAATGGCGACCTAACTTCAGAAAAACTTCAATTTTCTTATTTCCAGTTTAAAATAAGTTCACAATAAATGAATTTTACTGTTTCCTTGGCATCCCATTTCAAACAAACGTAAAAAAATATTTGATCATGACAAGTTCTTGGTAAGAGAGAGAGACACACACACAGTGATGGTGGCGGCGGCGGCGCAATCTCGGACTGGTTGCAACGTGGTGTTGGGCGGCCATTAGCCACGGTGAAGAGTAACCGCTGTTTGCGACAGCCGCGAGCACGGTGGCATAATGTGTAGAGGGTGGGACAGAGATGATGATTGACGCAAGATGTGACGTTGATGGGTCTGTTGTGAGATGTGGAAGGACAGAGTAGCATTTTAAATTATGTTGACAGTGGTGACCGAGTGATTTTGAAAATATTTAAAATCCTTTTTTGAGATTAAAAATTGTTCTTGCTATTAGAAAATAAGGATAAAATATTTACCAGTTTTTTAAATATATTCAGTAATTGATAATATTGCTTCAGAAAAACTTCACGATTATATATATATTACTTGGAGGCTAGACTCTCAGCTATAAATACTCAGCTATGAAATAAAAGAATATAATCCTAGATACCTAGATGAATAAGGATGTACCATAATCTATACTATCAGTAAATATGAATGTCGATACATATCAATTAAGATTTACACATCAATTCATTTATGGAGTAGATTACTTATACATATTAATTTAATTTTTGTTTTTACAAGCCAAACACATAACAAGAAAACGGAAAATGAAAATTAGAAAGTATTATCAAGTTAAAAACATTTTCCAAAACCAAATGGCCAATCTCCACATAATTTCATGAAAAAGATTAAGGCTAGATGGTTGAGTACATAAAAAAGTTAACAAACAAATATAGAAAGTCAATGAGAAGATTTTCCTTAAAACATTCATACATCATCTGAGAAAAATAAACCCTTGGACCCTATTAATGTACCGAAAACCAAATTATATGTTCAAGATAATTAATCTCCTGTGGTTGTGAAAAAACAACAAATTGCTTACTCTTGTAATATATAAGAGCAAAGAAAACTCATAAGATTCTACCACGGGGGACAACTATATCTGCTCTTAATTTATTCACACTTAATTGAGTGTGTATACAGGTACATGAGTATAACTCCTAGCAACTCCATATTATTAAGAAAATTGACCATTTCATGATTGAACAAATTACTTACACTCCTTACCCAAAAAAAAAACAAATTACTTACACTAGTGCACTCCCACACCAGCAAAAGCCGGAAATAGAACGTTCTTGAATCATTAGAAATACTGCTACATTGATCACTATTTTCATAGATCATTACTTTATTGCAAAAAGCAAGCTAGATTTCGAGAGATCGAGAGCTTAATAATATTTATAAGTTTTCTTCGTGGCGGAGATTGAATGTGCGAGAAGATAGTCTAAACTTATGTAATTGGGATTTTGTTGAAGAGTGCCTAGAACACCTGTTAAGAAACTCAAAAAAAGATTGAACGTCACATTTTAGTTGCCTCTTTGTAGATCCTACCTCAGTCATCATCGTAAAATGAGTCAGTCACATTTTGATGACAATTTCCTCCAAGCCTCAAAATTCAGGATTTACTGATCTTACAAGCTTTTTCAATTGCTAGAGTGGGAGATCATCTCTTCGAGCTACTTGTTATCCCCATCACCAATCTCTCTTCAGCTTCTTCCAGTTGGATAGATCAGCTCACCTTCGTAAGGATTTGCACTGTCCGATCGAACGGCTTTTCAGTGATTCCAGTCTGTCGAGACCTTTAATCTCAACCAATTTTGGACACATATAAATCAACAAGAGTTGTAGATTGACCAAGTTGGAAAGGTCAACAACTTCAAGAAGATTGCAGCTGCGAACTTCAAGTTTCCTCAAACTAGAGGGAAGCTGTCCAAGGCTGCACAGGTTGTCACAATCCATGAGTTGAAGTTCTTTTAGACAGCAAAGGCGACCCCAATATAAGCTTATGCCAATGAAATTTGGAAGTTCCAACATACAACATGGGCTGTAAGTTCTCGCCTTTGGAAAAGCTCTGATGGAGGTTGAGTTGGTAAAACATAATTCCAGATTCCTTAAACTCACAAGGTTGGTGATGTTTGGAGCTTTTTTAATGGCTGTTGAGGATAGACATAGACTTACCAAACTCTGGGGAAGCTGTGGTACATTTTGCACACGAGTTTGTGTTAATTTCAAAATCTTCAAGAAAGGTAGTCTCCCTATATCACCAGGAATCATCTCTAGCCACAAGCAATTCTCTCCATAGATCTCTTCAAGTTTCTTCAACATCCCCATTGCCTCGGGTAACTTTTGCATGCGACTTCTATTCATCTTCAACACTTTCAAGCTCTTTAGATTGACAATGATATTTGGCAACTCTCTAATGCTTGTGCTTGAGATATCCAACTCAGCCAAAGATTGCAGCATTCCGATAGAGTCGGGAAGTGTCGTTAGCTCCGGAACTCCACAAATGGCCAAGCACTCGAGTTTTATGAGTGCTCCAATAGATCTCGGGACTTGACTAATGCTTCCGAAGAAATTATAGTTACGTATGAGTAGCTCAGTTAAAGCTTTCAGAGAACCTAATTCAACAGGAAGCACTTGGAGACGAGTACAGCTATTTAAATTCAAGTGCTTCAAACGTCTCAGATGACCAATAGATCTATCAATCCTTAACAAGTTCCTGCACTCTTCTAGAATTAATATTTCTAAGGAAAAATATGCAGAGAGGTCAGGAGTTTTCTTTAACCTGGGGCACTTTGACAGATTAAGGACCTTCAATCTCGTAGCCACCTGTCAAATCATTATGTATATTAAACGAGTTTGATTTATAGAAGTTATGTAAGATTAAAACAAATATATCCACTAAGGAAGCATTCCACCAAAGTAACTTTATAAATACTCTGTATATATGCATTCCTCTATAATTTAAGCCAAAATCACTTGTCTCACTTTTTTAAATTTCTTCCAGTATTGTCCCCAATGACAAATAAAAGAAAATAGATCTATTTTTCAAATTACCCGAGTATGGAATAATAAAAAGATAAAAGAACGTAACACCACATCTCCTATAAATTATAACATCTCTTTTCAACTTCATCATGGAATTACCGATTTTGTTCCCAACACTAGTACTTATGATTCCAAATTTTGCAGCTTTGCCTATGTACATGTATAAAAAAAAAATTAATGTAGAAAATAATCTTACATGTCTTCTGACTATCAACTAATCTATCGTTGCAGTTTATTATTTTATTTTTATTTTTTTGTTTCATTCATTAAGACAAGGGCGTTATTAGCTTCCACATAACCTTTTGAAGAGTACGATATTAGAATTGATGTACTAAATAAATCTATTGTTTGGTGTTTCTTCGGTAGCACATCCTATGTATAGTATAGATAGTCTTATTCACTACTCTTATTTCACTCAATTTGAATAATTATTAACAACTTATTGGCATGATTAGGAAACTCAAAACAACGTGAACGTTCATATAATGTTATTCAAAAAGTAATGTAAGTCAACAGATATTAAGCGGTCATATTCCAATAGATGATTTAACAATCCTATAAATTACAGAAATTACGAAATATGTATGAATATCTAATCCAGTCATTTCATTTATTAATTGTGATACCCAAAATGTAGTTTCTAGTAACATAACATGTACACATTACAATACCCTTTACTCATGCAGCTACAATCATTTTGAATCGAAGAAAGTCATCAAGAGAAGATCTGCCAAAATAACAAAACAGCAGTAACATAGCATCAATCTAAAACCGTAAATGCAATTGAGATTAATGACGAACAACCAAATCTTAATTTTTATTTTATTTTTGGTAAGCTAATTGTTTGATTCGATAAAAATGAAAAAAGCAATCTTGAAAAATCTACACATGTTACATTCTCTCCATCTACACAACGTAATATCTATGAACGCAATATCAAAAGAATGAGATAAAAGTGATCAAGGGTAACATTCTTTCCGTCGACCAAAGTGTGTATAACGTGGATATGCAAGTAGCATTATGTATTCAATCACATCTTTGACATCCATCTAAAGTCAATGTTTGATTCGACATACTTCTAGTGAAAACTCAACAGTTGTATTTCAAACCTATGGAATGAGGGATTGTTGTCCTAGGCATTCTTAAAGACCAAGGTCTGTTTGAATTAAGGCAACAAAATTTAATTGACAAAATAGCAATAAAATAACAATCTACAACCCCATGAGACACAAGACCTGGTGTGACTGGAAGAAAATATAACATGTTATATTTAATCATTTGCACATACCTTGAGTTGAGTCCAACCACCCCAAAGTTCGTCTATTCGGCTACTTGATAGGTCGAGGATGAGTAGATTTTTTGGGCAAAAGTTGGTCGCGCTCAGCATGGAAGGACCATTCTTCCAAGAAAGCCATCTTAATTCTGAAAAGAGATCCTCAAAGTCTCCAGAGAGGTTCCCACCAGCCATTTCAAGAAATCTAATACTTGGCACTTTCATAAATTCATCTGATGTCAAAACAGTGGCTGGTCTAGACCTGCCAAAGTTCATACTGGTCGCAACAACAATTTCGGTTCCCTAAAATGAGGAAAGAGTCAGTTAAATGAGAGTTCCAAATAATGTTTGAAATGAAGGGAAAACAATCCAAGGAAGATTTCTACAAGGAAGACTTTGTACCTTCTTTCTCTTGATCATATCAAGAGCTTCTTCATGATTCCACACTCGTGAACATTGTCCTGAATCTTTAAAATTTTCTTGGTAGACAATGCTCTTGCCTAAGTCTTTGAGCTGATCATGCATCCATAGTTGATTGTCTTCTCCAATTTTCACCAAGGACATCAAAAGTAGAGCTTCAATCCCCTCATTCGGGTAAAATCCACAGTCATACCACATGTAATCTGCGTAACTCTTTTTTTCTCCAGCTAGAAAGCAAGCAATATCCAGAAATATTTGTCGTTGCTGATAATCTAACACCTCATAACTCAACATTAACTTTTCCTTCACATCCTTATGAGGGTAATGTTCCATCTTTTTCAGTATATCTTCCCACACTGCTTTCTTTTTCCCGTACAATAATGAGCCCATCACTTCAATTGCCAAAGGAAGCCCTCCGATTTTTGAAGTAACTTTCTTAGACAGACTCAAAAATGCATTTGGAGGAGAGTTGCTTCTAAAGGCATGCTTGCTAAAGAGTTTAAGAGCTTCGAGATCCTTGAGTCCCTTAGCTTCATAAATCAAACAATGTTCCAACTGATCTTGGAATCCACTTAAAACACTTTTATCTCTTGTTGTAACAACTATTCTACTTCCCGAACCAAGCCATTCTGTCTTTGCTGCTAATGCCATAAGTTGGCTCCTATGATCTACATCATCAAGGACAATAAGAACTTTCTTTATCTTGAATCTATCTTTGATCATATTTATCCCATGATCGACGCTAGAAAGTTCAACTCCTACATTGCCAAGGATATCAAAGACTAGTTGCCTTTGCAAATTTGACAAACCAAGACTTTTTGATGCTTCTCGGATATTTGAAATGAAACTACAACTTATAAAATTAGTAAAAAGTTTGTGGTAAACAACCTTGGCAAGAGTTGTCTTGCCTATTCCACCCATTCCGCAAATTCCAATGAGTCTTCTGTCCTCAGATTCGACATTCAGCAAATCTACTACTTCGTCCACTGATTCGTCCATTCCAACTAGATTATCAGATATATGAACATAAGACACCTTAAGCTTAACCAATACTTTCTGAGCAATCAATCGTGCGAGTTCTCCATGGCTGTGTCAGCACACACAACATAATCAAGTTAATTATGGTCTAAAACAAAGAAAAAATTATGCTCTTCAAAATATAATCAATAATCAAGCAAAAGAAACGGAGAAGAAACAAGAAGACAGAGTTCAGTGTGTTAATTTACCCTTGGTTCTTTGTGTCCCATCCCTTGACTCTAGCAACTTCCTTGAGCGCCTCTGCCCAGGGTTGCACAATCTCAGGCCCGTGTTTTTCTTCATGCAGAGTTAACGCATCCTTATACACTTCGGTTTCAAGCATCACGTCAGAGGGTTCCACGTCATAGAAAATGGGTAAAACCTCTAGATCGTTGGTTTTCCTACGCTCCATCATGTGTTCCAGCTCGCGCAAGCACCATTTACTGGATGCGTAGCCCCTAGAGAAGATGGGAATGCAGATTTTCGAGTCATCAATGGCCTGGAAAATCTCTGGGCCGATCTCTACACCTACATCGATTCCCTTCTTGTCTATGAAAACCTGGATACCCTTATCTAGCAGGGCATGATAGAGTGAATCTGTGAAATTTGCACGAGTATCCGGTCCTCGAAAACTCAAGAACACGTCGAACTCAGCTCCTGATGAGCCATGGCTTGTGGATCCAGTTTCCCAAAAAGAGCTCCTGTTTCTTTCCATCTTAGTTGAGTCTGCTAAAATTCCAAAAGCAAATCACAAAAGATTTGACATGCTTTTCTCGTCAATGTACGTGTAAAACTGCACTCATTTTAAAGTGATTTTACAAGACTTGGATGATGGAAAACGCAGTGTTATGCAATTCAAGTAAGTTGCAAGAACTCCGTTTGGAACAGGGGTTGACGAGCGATGGTCAGGTAGGAAAGTGAGGCTCGGTTTCCTTTTCCATATCCATTGTGTTGCCGCATCGATCGAGAGAAGTGGTAAAGATACGATTGAAGGACTAAGAAATGGGCCTAAGCCCCACAAGTTGACATAATTTGGAGGAAGTAAAGTCAGCCATACCTCAGTTACTTTCGAGCTCCTTGCTCTGTTGCCACGGCAGATCTGGAAAGCACGGAACAACCTCGTGTTCAGAGCTCAAAGTCCGAACCCCCAGCAACTCATCGAACTCGACTCTGGCGATGAATCATGATCTCAGAGGATGGCGTAAACAAAAACGCAGGCGAAATCACGGCAGCGAATGGACTTACCCCAATGTCGGAAACCCCCATCCCGCGACATGCCCGAGATGAACGTTGATGGATCTTTCGTACAAGAAATAGGGGAAGGAGCCATTGCTTGTGTATGTCGCCGCGACAGCTACGGCTTCTCGGCATTACAAGCAGAAGCGGCAGCCATTGTTGAAACCCTGAAGTACTTCGAAGCAAAAAAAGCCGAACTGAAGCTAGGAGCGTGAAACAGATCAGGTTGATCTGGTGAAGGAGACATACGGAAGCGCAGATCAAGCAAGTTGGGGGAGGTGGTTGCTCTTATCACTGAAGCCCAAGCCCATTTGACATGTTTTCCAACATCTTGAGATAGCCCCGTTACAAGAGAGATTGTGATATGGTTACTGCGGATATGGGTAGTCAATGCATCTCACCACCCAATCTCATGTTGAAGATTTCCATGATAAATCTTATATGTTGATTGAAAGCACAACAACCAAGGTTCTTCAGGGAAATCTATCTCACCACCTACGTATCTCTAATGTAGTGATCCCTGTAGTAACTATTGTATGGATTATCAACTTAAATTTAGAATAATTTACTGACTTTTATCGTATTAAATTATCGATTAGTTTTCAATAAGCAACTCTTATTTATTTGGGTTACTAATTTTTATTTGTATTGGTTGGAAGCCCTTATATTTACCAATTCTAATTAAAGATTACCGGCCTTAGTTAATGTGATTCGCCGACTTGTCTCCCATAATGTTACTACTTAGTATTGGGTTATTAACTCTCATTTAAGTTACTTACCGACAATTTATTTAGTTTTTTATTTTTAACTTTTCTTATTGTCTAAAAACTTCTATTTGCATTTCTTAGCAATGCCTTAGAATTACCAACTTTTTTTAAATTACCATATTTAATTATAGTGACTTGCTAATTTTTCTCTAATTAAATTATCAAATAGTTTGGAGTTACCAACTCATTGAGTTACTTACCAAGTTTTTTTTTAATTAACAAATTTTCTTATTTTATTCACCGATTTTCATTCACCTTTTCTTTATTACACCTTAAATTTATCAACTCTTGAAGAGATTTTTAATCAATGATAAGAGAAGTTAGTATTTTAAACAAAAATTAAATATACATTGATAACTAATTTCTTAGAGCCCACGTGGAGCTTTCCAACAAGGACGCTCACAATATAATCTCCATGGTTGGCTACCGTGTGAAGTGGAAAAGAGTAACACCTCTTTCCCAGCCCTCAACAAAAAGAAAAAGTTAAAGATCCGTCGTCAAAATAATTACAAACCAACTTACTTTTTCTCATCCATTATCATGTTTCCATGGCCTTTTTGGAAATTTGGAATCAACTGTTATTTAAAAATTTTGAATACATACATGACATATATCATGAAAGTAATTACAAATGATCCTACTTTTTCTCATCCATTATCGGATTTCCGTGAACTTTCTTGAAAATCTAGAATCAACTATTCTTTAAAAATTTGGAATACATACGCGACATATATCATGAAAGTAAACGATTTTACTTTTTCTTATCCGTTATCGAGTTTCCATGACCTTTCTTGGAACTCTAGAATAAACTGCTCTGTAAAAATTTGGAATATACGTGACATATACATAACATAGCAAAACAGAGGAAAGGAAACCAAGAGAGCTGGGAAAATCGTAGAGGAAAGGAAATAGTATTACTAAGTTTTATCACTCTACTTATCAAGAGGAATTATTGCGAGAAAATTTTTCATGTAATATGAAACTCCATTAAGGTTGTGTAGAGTTGTGAGCTGGTGCACTTTTTGTCTTCTACTGATTATCTGTTTCATGTGTTCTTCGTAAAAGGGAAAACAAGAAAACGCATTTAACCAGCAACAGTTGTAGACGATTGCATTTAATCCGATATCCTCAATCAATCTCTCTTTTTGGCTTGGACAACACTTCAATGAGCACACATCTATCCAAGTTGGTATGGTTTTTTTGAATTGTAGAAACATGAAAACTCTCATGTAATTGCTTGATATTCAGAGTCATCAGCTCTAGCTTCTAATGGTCGCATCCAACTCAAGCATTGATACCATTAAAGCATCAGCTAGTCCTAATCACCTAGCTCAAAAAAATTATATTGATAACTTTACCATATTATGTTATACCACTAATCAAGAAACCACCCATTTAATAAATCAATACCTAAAGTATTTTGATGACAGCAAAACTTAAAGTATTTGATAAGTTCATTTAAGTGTACAGAGGATCATATATAAACTATGCAAGCTTTATATATTCACTTGCCATCTTGTAATGCCAACATCAGCACATTCTGCAGCACATATTGCAGTTAGACAAAATTTATTTAACTAAAAAGAAATGCATCGTTTTAAACATTTACGAATTAATTTATTCATAAATATCGACCAAATATATATAGCATGGAAATGTTAAAGTTACGTTTCTATTAGACTACGAACTCGATAAGTCTTTATTCCCGTTTTAAAACTCATATTCTCTCATAAGTTGAACACTAAATAATAATAGCGCATCTTTATTTATGGTCAACTTTTTATATTGTTTTTATATCTATGGGTTTTGGGTTTTATTTGCGTATCTGACAAAATGTATTTAGACCAATGAATGATTTGTCATTCAGGATTGTTAGGTATGGAGTTTCACCTTATGCAATTATAACCTGAAATTAATTGATCAAGGGATGACTTCGGTTTGGTCTCTATATATCGTGTATCGGACCTAATTATAACATTTCTCTTGAATTCCGGAAAAAGAGATTATCAACTAATACTCAATTGTAATTCCTAAATTTGTCATTTAGGATCAAGTTTTACATAAATCTTCAGTTATTCCTTTATTAGTTTTATCTGGACAGGACCGAATTATTAATTTTTGTATATTTTCGTATTATTTATAGCTTTATCGTTCTAAATCCATTTATAACTTATTTATCAAATAGAACTAACCCATATAATATAACTATTCAGCCATTAAATATGGGTTAAAAATGGGTTTGTCTGCTTGCCATGACCAGAGATTTCATAAGCCAGAACCCAAGCGTTAAAACTCGAAATGGAAAGGGCGCAAAACCAACCTATCGGGTGGATTCCGCCGGCAAGACACTCTCTGAAGTAGATACGAAAGGATCGTGGATCGAAGAGTCGACGGATGGTGCGACTGCAGGTGTATGCCGAGATCCGAGTGGAATTCTTATTGACGGATTTGCAAATGCGGTCACAGCTCCCTCCTCAACGATTGCTGCTGAAACCCCTCGCCTTACCAGATTGCAAAAGAAAGCCGACCCAGCTCAAGTGGGTTAACGTGCCCTATTGGCCCCGCGAGGCAAATCAACAGGTGCATTAGATTGTTAAAGCCCATCGCAAGCGGGCCCGCTTAATCCCCACAGACCATGTTAGATATCTTATGTTCAGCAACTTACAAACTCTGTCCTGTTCTAGGATTGTTGCTTGACGAAACGATCGGGTTTCTTCGGAAAAGAAGAGGAGGAGGAGGCAAGGACAGAGATCAAGTGCTTAGTATCAGATGTGATGCGACCTGTGAGTGGGTGGGTTTTTTATGGGGTTAATGTCACGAAAAAATTTTAAACTAATATATTTGTGATAAATTTACCATAAATTAATTTTTTGACCACCGAAAACCTCAAATTGGTATACCTGTGACAAATCTACCTCAAATTAAGTTTTTGATCACCAAAAACTTTAAACTGGTACATTTGTGATAAATTTACCATTTTTGAATTTCCGTTAAATTGGATTAATATCACAAACTGGTACACATGTGACTAACAAATGGCAAAATCCCAAATTGGTACACTTGTCAATTATTACATGTCATTCAACTCAGCAATTTGTCGGTAAAATTTAACAAAAGCTAATTTGTCACATGTATACCATTTTTGGATTTTTTGTGATTAAAAAATTAGTTTGAAGTAAATTTATCACAAATTTATCAGTTTGAGGTTTTTTTATGGTATTAACCCTTATTTGTAATAGGAGAGTATTTTACATTAAGTTGACATGTTGGTAATCAAGTGATGTCGAGAATATTTTAAATTATTATTTGAAGATTTCAAGGTTACCTCTTCTTATTTTTTGATCCTGGAAGTATATTTTGGATATTTTCAAGATTGCTTTTATCTAGATGAGGAATTTGATGTTTATTTAAATTTTGTATTATAGATGATGTATCTTTTTTTCTTGCTTGAAGGTGACTCAAAGGGATCGTAAGTTCTTAGCAGTAATTACCTAGGTTATTTCATCGCAGTACACAATTGAGTTATCGAATAAAGTTTTGCTCTCTGGAATTATTCTTACTTTCTTTTTGTTCTGCTGTTTGTCCTTTTTGGTGGATTTTGAAGGTTCACGAGCGATGGAGAGATTTCTATATTTTTGGAATGGCCAACCAAGTTGGTGGATTCGATTAAGAGTCTCTTCCTTCTTTCCTTATCCTCCTTTTCTTTTGCATTTGGTGTTCCGTACGTCCCAATGTATTTTTGAGCCGAAGACCCATAAAGAAGAAACCTGATTCTCATGTCTTTATGGTAGCATGGACTTCTTGTCATTTGGTGATGACCGTACGGCCAAACACCAAGAAGTAGCATGCAAGGGCTAAATATGTCAATTGGCGCATAAACCCAAGAAAGGAGGGGGAGAAAATTGATGGTTTTCCCTTGGCCTAATTATTTATAATTATGCTATTATTATGTACCAATACTTTGTACCGTCTCTCAAATATTATTTTTATAAGCCTTATTTTATCATATCCTATCCCATTCAATTCTTTATATAGGATGTCGAGTAAAGATTGGACCTTTCTCAAATAAGGCCCATTCTATTATTGTATTAGTTAATTTTAATTTTCATGTATATTTCACTTATATACCTTTGTAACATAGGCACCTTATGCTCTATCCACCAGTTTTTTTTTTTTTGACCAGTTGAACCTGTTGAACTATATGTTTGACCACTTGTAGACCTCCAATGCTAAAAAGGACCGGACCGGACCAGATGCCGGGTGCAAATGAAAGTCCAAAAATATCCTTCAATTAATTATGAGATAAATGCATTAAAAGTCTTAAAACTTATCATAAAAGTGCAATTGAATCCTAAAACTTT